TAGTTTGGGTTCTAAGAATGGAGCAGAAATGAAAGGGGGTAGGGAAGAAAAAGGACAAGGGTAGGTTAATAACAATAGCAAATAGGGGAGGAGCCAGTATTGTGGAGCAGTACAGGAAGGAGCTTCCACCCCCAAACTCCTCCAAACAGATCTAGAAAAAGCACCAGATTGATTCCTGTTGGGAAATTCAAGATAGTCATAGCAAATCATTTTTATAGGCAGGGTTGGCACAAGGAGATAGAGAAATCTATGGACACTGCGGACTAGGTGTAGTGTGCAGCACTTGGAGCAGAGCACACCAGAGCCCAGGGAGAGGCTGTAAACTGAGGCAAGAAGTGGTTCCAGACCCATACTGGAGCACCCCCAGGCCCTTATCTGGACAGGAACAGATGGAAACTGGCACCTTTGTTGTCTGCTACCTAGTGCTAGGTCACAGACCCAGGGTGGACTGATGGGGATCAGGGTGGACTGATGGGGATCAGGGTGGAAATGGACCTTTGCCTCTTCCACCTTCCCCAAAGGTTTCAGGCCCTAGGTGGTCTATCTAGAGGAGATCAAGTTGAGGAGCCAGCAGCTGAACTCTGGTGCAGATACCAGAAGCAGGGTGGGGTATCTGTTCTAGCCTCCAGTCCAATCTGACAACTCTGGAGGAATAACCAGGGCAGGAATCCTAAACCAAAGAGGAGTTTGTAGTTCTGTAACTCTAAAGTAGTAGAGATTCCCAGTTGGATGACAGTGGCATAGTGACATCTAGAAGCAGTCTACTGTTCCTCAGATTCAAACTCAGGTTAGGAACTTGTAGAGTTTAGGCCAGGAAGCTAGTAGTCAGATTTAGCCCTGGATCAGATCACTTTGGGAGCACTGAAAAGTTTGTAGTTCCAGGGCCTAAACTGACTCTCAGATCCTGGAACAACACAACACTCAATACACCAAAGAAGCAGCAAAGGGATCTTCCTTGTTGAAGTATAAGGCCTGACCATAAGAGTCCAAAGCTGGGAAGTAAGTTGAAAGAATGAGCAAATAGAAAGAAGAATCCCACCATAAAAAGCTACAAAATACAAACATAGAAGAGAATGACTCCAAAACATCTACAAGAAAGTCCTCAAAAGAAAACACAGGTTGGGCACACATTCAACTAGAATTCCCCAAAGAGATGAAGCAAGAGTTTTAAAAAAGAGTTAAATTGCTAGATCAAAGAAATGAAACATATATTTAAAAAAAGTTAAATTTTTTTTTGTCAGTGAAATTAGACTGCTAAAGGAAAAAAATCAGAAAAGAAATGAAAACTATGGAAGAAAGAACTGGAAAAGGAATGAGCAACTTGCCAAAAGAAGTACAAAACCTGGCCCAAGCAATAAACTCTGAAAAATAGAAAGGATCAAATAGCAGATGGCTCCATGAGACAAGAAATATTAAAACAAAGTCAAATGTCTGGAAAAAAGAGAACATTTAAGGCGTCTCATTGCAAAAACAACTGATCTGGAATATAGATTGTGGAGAAAAAATTTAAGAATAATCAGACTACCTGAATGCAATAACTAAAATAAGAAGCTAGACATCATATTTCAAAAGATCTTAAAAGAAAACTGCCTAGATCTCTTAGAAACTGAAAGCAAAGTAGAAATAGAAGGAATTCACCGGTTACTTCCTAAAAGAAATCACCAAATGAAAACTCCTAGGAATTATGGCCAAAATTCAGAGCCTCCAGGTCAAAGAAAAAAATACTTCAAGTAGCCAGCAAGAAAGAATTGAAGTAGTGAGGAGCCACAGTCAGGATCATGCATGATTCAGCAGCTACCACTGTAAAGAAGAGGAGAGCTTGGAATACCAAAGTACAGAAGGCAAATACGTGTGTATGTTTGTATGTATGCATATATATGCACACACACATACACACACACACACACACACATATATATACACACACACACACACATAGATATGTGAAATCTTACAGCCATGAATTCCTTACCTAGCAAAATTGAATATAATCCTATTGGAGAAAATAAGGGATTTTTAATGAAATAGAAGACTTCCAAGCATTCTTGATGAAAAGACCAGAACTTTATAGAAATTCTGAAGTTCAAATACAGCAATTAAAAGAAAAATAAAAGTGTAAATACAAATGAACAATGATAAAAGACTAAACAAGGATAAACTGCTAAATTCTAGTATAGGGAGATGATACATATATTCCCTTTGAGCCCTACATAATCAGGACTCATAATTAGACAGAATTAGGCTGACATAATTAGACAGAAGGTCTGGAAGTAGTTCTTGTCTGTCTTGATTTTAAAAGAAGAATGGAAAGGGAGAGGAAGAGGAATATACTAGAGGGAGAAGGGAAAAAATCAGGGGGAAATTATGTCAAATAATCAGGATACACAAATAGACATCCTACAAGCAAGGATGAGGGGGTGGGGGGGGGAGTGGATAACACTTGAAATTCATTCTGAATTGGTTAAGGAAGGGAAGAAGACACACACAATTGGTTACCAAAAAATACATTTCATTCAGCAAGTAAATAGGAGAGAAAAAGGAGAAAAGAAAAGGGGGATTAGAGGGAAGATGATAAAGGAGTAGTTAGATGGTTAACTGGATAGAGTGCTGGTCCTGGAGGCAGGAAGACCTGAGTTCAAATCCAGCCTTAGACACTTACTAGCTGTGTGATCCTGGACAAGTCACTTAACCCTGTTTGCCTCAGTTTCCTCACCTGTAGAATGAAATGAAGAAGGAAATGGCAAACCACTAGAGTATTTTTGTCAAGAAAGCCCCAAATGGGGTCATGAAGAGTCAGACATGACTGAATAATAACAATAGATAAGGGAAGGATTAGAATTAAGTAAAACAAACCTTAAGGATATGCACAAATATTTATAGTTCTTTTTGAAACAGCAAAGTTTGAGAATTTGAGGGGGTACTGACTGAACATATTATGGTATATAAATGTGGTAGAATTCTGTTGTGCTTTGTTGTTGTTGGTCCTTGGTTCTTGAAGAGGACCAGTGGCATCAAGAGGGTGATGTCTTGACTTGTAAGTGAATTGGATTTAAGTGAGGCAGGGCTGTGCAAAGTCATCAGCCTCACTCTCTCTTTCAGAGTCATCCGAGTTCAGTGGTAAGACAGGTTAGGAGGACTGGTGATGGCCTGGGGTGCAGTGGGAGACCTTGGCCTTTTTAAGCTAAGGTCTTCCCAAGTCTCTGTTTGTCTTAAAAGAAAACTGCCTAGATCTCTTAGAAACAGAGAGCAAAGTAGAAATAGAAGGAATCCACTGGTTACTTCCTAAAAGAAATCACCAAATGAAAACTCCTAGGAATTATGGCCAAAATTCAGAGCTTCCAGGTCAGAGAAAAAAATACTTCAAGTAGTCAGCAAGAATTGAGACAAAAGATGGCCTAGTTTGCTTTCACAAAAGAATCAGTCTGGGAGGTGAAGACCCTCAGAGTTTCTGGCCAGAACAGAAATAATTGCTACTTACACTCCAACATTCTGTGCTATACTCATGGGAACAGAGCAGAGAAGCATTTCTTTGTGAGTGAGTGAGTGTGTGTGTGTGTGTGTGTGTGTGAACTATTGGTGCCATCTCTGCCTCTGTGGCTTCCTTCTTTCTGATAGCCTCTTCCTCCTTTAGTCCTGCATTTCCCTTTAAATTAAACTTAGTAGGATTAACCAGAAGCTATGAAGATACTACAAAATTCAGGATCTGCAAGGCTACCCAGAGCTGAGTACATTTCTTACGTGGAAGTGTCTGATGGTTTTAAAATTCCAATTCTTGTTGGTCCTTCCCTAAACTCTCATATTTTCAAGCAATAAATAAATATATGAATTTGTGGGTAGGAACAAAGTCATTAGGACTTCAGATTCATAATAAATGATCAACCATTGACTCCACAATACAGAACATGAAATATGCTACTCAGCTCTTTTTATTGGGGGCGGGGTGAGGCATGGGGGTTAAGTGACTTGCCCAAGGTCACACAGCTAGTAAGTGTTAAATGTCTGAGTGTGGATTTGAACTCAGCCAGAGCTCTATTCACTTCACCACCCAGCTGCCTCTGCTACCCACTTCTTGATGGAGGGCAGTAAAGTTTTTGGAAACAGCCAATGTGGAAATTTGTTTTTCTTGACAAATGTATACTTGTTACAGGGCTTTTGGTTTTATTTTTTATTTTCTAGTGGAGATGGGTGGAAGGGCAAGAGGGGTTAGAGACAGGATGGCAAAAAGAAAATGGAAAGAAGAGATGAGATTTAAGTATGACCATCTTCAAAGGGAACAGAAGGAAGGCCAGAACGTCTTTGAAAGCTTCAGACTATACTTATACACTTAAAGAGACAAGCTAACTATACAATGTATGTAAGAATTTTACAAAGAACTGCAGATCTATAATATATGATGTACATGAGAAGTGTCAAATATCTGGCCACACTTCGGAAAGCTGTTCCAACAGGATTAAAATATAATTGGGAAAAACTTAACAAAATAAATAAGAAATTATAATAAAACATAGATAACATTATGTTTTTAAAACTAAGTCAATATATAGCCCGCAGGGATCCTTGGGTGCAGGTCAGTGGCCTCCTGTTTCTATTTGAGTTTGCCACCATTGGTGTACATGATAGAGATTTACAGTTTTATATACAATACTTTTTCTCTCTCCCCTGAGTATATATAAATGACCGTTCTCTTTGGTGTTAAGAATAGAATAAATTTTAATTTTTAAAAAGAAACTTAAAGTCAAGATGAGACATGGATGATTTGTTAGCTGAAGGTGGGGAAGGGAAGGCAGGCTAGATCAGGGCTGATGGGGGCCTTCACCCTCCCCCGGAAAATGCCAGATATTTCTGACTCGGGGGCAGAGCTCTGGCTGCCCAGGGCGGGAGAGTAAAGGGTGCAGGGCTCTCCCCTCCCACTCGGGGCGTCGGGCCAGGGCCCGCGCCTCCCACCGAGGCTCTGGCCGGTGGCCGAGGCTGGGGCTCTAGCTCCTGCGCGCCCCGTCAGTGCGGGGCACCAGGAGCTGTCCACGCTCTCCTCTGCTCCACGGCCGTTCGACAGCGCGCATTTTTGGGTTCTCCCTCCGCAGTTATGGGCGCCGCAGCTTCGTCTGCCCTCACCGGACTCAGCCTCCTCCAGCTCCGCCTCCGCCATGCGCTCCCAGCCTCGGCGCAGTCCAGGGCCGCCCGTTTCTGGGCGGCCGCGCTGGGACTGGCCGCCGCCGCGGCGCTGGGGGCCGCAGCCTGGAGCACGAGGGACCGGCGGCGGCGGCGACGACAGCGGAGGCTGCAGCAGGTGGGCACCGTGGCACAGCTCTGGATCTACCCCATCAAGTCCTGCAAGGGGGTGCCTGTGAACGAGGCTGAATGCACCGAGTTGGGGCTGCGCAGCGGCCACCTGAGAGACAGGTACCATCCCGCTCTGGGCACGACTCCACTCCCTGCGATCGGGAGCGGGCGGGGGTGGTAGACTCCTACATTAATGTACAAAATGCAAAAATACATTTTGACCTAGTCTTCGGTTGCTGGCTGTTTTCACAGTCTCCCAATGTAGTTGCTGAGGAATTGTGGCTCACAATTTCTGCCAAGTCTCCACAGCCCCTCGTGTGTCAGAGTGATGGAAAATTCAACTTTATTAAATGTTTATTGAACACTCGGAAATGGAAAAATCATTTCAGAGCACCCTATAGGTACTGTGACACACTGGTTAGAGTACCAGCCAGACCTGGAGTCCAGACGACCTGGGTTCAAGTTATGTCTTTCACACTCACTAGGGAGAGGGGTGACATGGACAAATCACTTAATTGCCCGTCATTGACTTAAGCAACTCTCAAAAGATCTCCTTCAGTTGTGTTGGGGATCTGCATTGTTCTATATTACTCTATATGAGGGTACCCCTTACATAGGGAGTTCCATGCAGTGATGAATAATAAAACCAGACCGAGGCGAAAATGAACATTCAGAGACTTTGTGAAAGCCGGCCTCTTTCCCTACCGCATACCCCTAGCATCCCCAGCTCAATGAAATCAATCAATCAATCTGTTATTCAGTCATGCTGGACTCTCTATGACTCCATTTGGGATTTTCCTTGCAAACTGGAATGGTTTGCCATTTCCTTCTCCAGTGCATTTTACAATGAGGAACTGAGGCAAACAGGACTAAGTGACTTGCCCAGAGTCACACACCTAATTGTCTGAGGGCAGATTTGAATTCAGGTCCTCCAGACTCTAGAACCACTGCTCACTATTCACTGCACCACCTAGCTGGCCTAATCAATCAGTCAGCAACCATTTATTTAGTGTCACAGTAGACAGAGTATTGGACTTAACGTAGGGAAGTGAAAATGTTATCTCAGACACTACTTGCCGTGTAACCTTGACCAAGTCATTAGTCTCTTTGGGCCTCATTTTCTTCATCTATAAAATAAAGAGACTGGATTTGGCTCCCAGGGGCTCTTCCACCTGTTGTAGATGCCAGTAGATGAAAAGTAATTTAAAAAAAAAACCAAAGTAATTCCTAACCTTAAGGAGCTTAGATTCTACTGGGGAAAGATAACTTTGATGCCATCTTCCAGGGGTCCTATTTTAGATGCTGCTGAACAGCTACCTGCATTTTAAAATCCAATTACCCTTGAATGGAAAATGGAGTTGAGGACTGGAAAGAGCCCATTCTGGTTAGTTAAGTGCGTAATTAACTTCTGGGCTCCTGCATTTCATGAAACTTGGGGTAATGACAAGTTCACAGATCCAGCTTCTCTTAATCATTATTTTCAATTTCCCCTCACATCTTTGGAAGAAATAGGAAAATGGAGAGATTGAATTTGCTCCCTTCCTCCTTGCCCTGCTCCCCTGCCCCATTCCTTTGACCAATGGAGGAATGAGAGACCTGAAAGGTGAGCAGCAAGGGGAAGAAGGACAGATCTGTTCTGGAAAATGAGATTGCAGAATTTGAATAATGATTGATTCCAGGAGGATGGCATGATGCAGTGGAAGTAGTGTTTTGGATTTCAAGTCAGAGGACTTGGTTTCCAATCTTAATACTATAATTTTACTGCTTCTGTGATCTCTGACAATTTAGTTCACTCCTCTGGGTTTCAGTTTCCTCATCTGTAAAATGAGGGGATTGGATTAAGTGATATTTAGGGTTCCTTCTGGGATCCTTTGAATATATTTGTCTTGTCTATCGATAAAAAACAAAACATTCAAATGACACTAGTAAATATTTTATTGGGTAAGGGAGGATTAGGATGGAGAGAATTAGGGACAGGATTATATCCTTTGACCCGTCTGGGAATGATATGACCTGTCTTTTAGGGTTCTGAATATATTAGGATGTTTCTGCCACATGAGTATGATATGAATGGTAATGTTGCACCAATAGCTCTCCAAACAATGGATGGGGGTATTTACATCCAAATTACTTCCACATATCCTTATCAGGAGAGTGTCCCTACAAATTCCAAATGTACAATTTGTATCTTCAGTGAAAATGCCCTCACTCACTTTCTGCTCTCCTTTCTCCAAAGCTAGGAGTCCTTGACCTCCAATGCCCCTCAAGAATAGCTGTTGTTGTTCAGTCTTTCAGTCGAGTCTGACTCTTCATGACCCCATTTGGGGTTTTCTTGGCAAAGATACTGGAGTGGTTTGCCATTTCCTTCTCCAGACCATTTTACAGATGAGGAAACCGAGGCACACAGAGTTAAGTGACTTGCCCAGGGTCACACAGCTAGTAAGTGACTGAAGCCAGGTTTGAACTCAGGACTTCTTGAATTGAGGCCTGGTGCTACTGCTCCACTTAGCTGCCCTCCCCCCTCCCCCCAAGAATAGCAGTGCTTCTTTATTTAATACAGTAATAAATTCACTGAATTTGCAATACAGAATAGGTAAGTGTATGGATAAGGGGCTTGAATTGAATTGTGAACTTGGCTCATTAATTTCTCACATCTGTAAACTGAATTTTTTGTAATAGACTAATATGCCTTCTTCTGTAGTCTTTATTTAGGGAAAGGGTGGAAACTTCCAAGTAGAAACTCTTTTTATCTAGTAGATAAATCATGAGAGGTTGCTTATGCTCCAAGACATGAAGTGAGTGGCCTATGGTCAAATGGCTAGTGAGCCTCAGAGAAAGGATCTGGACTAGGTTCTTCTAGACTCCAGGTTCAACACATTATCTACTATTTTGCGCTGTAAATAATAAAGAAAAATTAACATAAGACTTCATTACAGGAAATGCCCACCAAAGTTTTCCATGAATTAAAAATATCATCTCCTTAGGTTATGTTTGAAAATGATCAGGTTTTTGCTGTTATCCTTCTTGTTGTGAAATTGAAAATTAATTTTTAATTCTATTTTGTTAAGACTTAATCAAGTTAGATTTAATATTCTCCTTCACTGTTGTTTACCCTAGTAACTTCACCCACCACCCACACTCCAGAAAAACTAGATAAACCTAAAAGGTTAAATCTCATCAATTTGAACTCTTGTAGCAACTCCCATCATCTGCAGACTAAACCCATTGCCTGAGGACTACCCCTATCACCTGAGAATTGATCTCATCTCCCAGTGATGTAACGGGAAGGAGCTGAGAGGACCCTTATCCCACCTTTCCATTAAAATGTCTATCAATCAGGATTATTTTACCTTTGTCTGGTAACACATATGTTGTTTATGGTTAAGGAGGGATTTCAGGAGAGGTCCAAACAATTGTAATGTCAAGCTGATGTCAAAAGGTCTTCACTTTCTGACCAATGAGAACACCTACGTCTCTCAGATACAGCTATGTTGATTTTGCTCTGTCATCCTGTTAATCACCATAAAAGACCCTGCCCTCCCTCACTCTAGGTCTTTGGTTATTGAGAGACCATAGACCCACTTTATTGGTTATTGCTAACCAAGCTAATGCAGGTGGCCTAGTGGATTAGGTGCTGGACATAGAGTCAGGAAGAACTGAGTTTAAACAGTGCTTCAGACACTTACTAGCTGCATGACCCTCGACAAGTCACTTACCCTCTGTTTACCTTAATCCACTGGAGAAGGAAATGGCAAACCACTCCAATGTTTTTGCCAAGAAAACTTCATGAACAGTATTGGTGTGCTATGGTCCACGGGGTCAGGAATAGTTAGATATAACTAAACAACAACAGCCTAGTTAATAAATTGATCCATGCTTGGAACTTTGTCTCTCACACCACCTTCTAGCACACCATTGTTAGGTGGGTCTGAGATCCAGAGCTGATTCCATCACTAGAGGGAACTTTCGGTGTGAAATCTCTCTCCACTGATACAGATCGCATTGTTTTGTTCTGTCATTCCACTTGTGTCCAACTCTTTGTGATCCCCACTTAAGGTTTTCTTGGCTAAGACACTGGAGGGGCTTGCTATTTCTATTTTCAGCTCGCTTTATGGATGAGGAAATTGAGGCAAACAGAGTTAAGTGACTTACCCCAGGTCACACAGCTAGTAAGTATCTGAGGCCAGATTTGAATTTAGGAAGATGAGTCTTCCTGACTTCAGAAAGATCACACACAGATCACTTTACCCATAACATTGTTTTAGAGTTCACTCTGAGGAACTGAGGGCTTAAGTCCTTTTCCCATGGTTGTACATCTAGTGTATGTCAAAAACAGGACATGAACACAGGTCTTTCTAACTCCCAAGAGTGGCTTTCTCCCCCATTGTTATATACTATCTCTCGATACTACTTTTAAATTTCCATAACCTCAAGCAACTCATAGTGCTTTATAGCTATGTATTCATTTACTGTGTCATCATTGGACCTTGAAATCTAAGAGGTAATAAATTCAGCATTGCTCTATGGTACCATATTCTCTCCCCCTCCCCTTCTCCCTCTCCTTCTCCATGAAATATAGCCTCAGGGCACTCTGCTGTTGTGCTCTGATTATCACATTGTGCCTCCTGTTGCTGTGTTCTGATAATGGCAGATTTTGGCTCATCATCAATGAAGAAGGGAACATGGTCACCGCTCGACAGGAGCCCCGCCTGGTGCTGATTTCCCTAGCCTGTGAAAATGACTCCCTGATCCTCAGTGCAGCCTACACCCAAGACTTGATTCTACCTGTCAAAGTACCCACCACCAATGTGGTGAGGAAGTGCAGGTGAGGTGGGAGGTAATTTTAATATTCTTTCTTTGGGGACTTTACTTTGTATGCATTTAATAAATTAGAAACTTTAGGAAAGAGAGTTCACTGAAGAATTTTTGAAACACCTATAGTATGTAGGAGAAGAAACACAAAATGATTACTAGATATAGGTAAAAGGTACAAAAATAACATATCACAAAACAATTTCTATAGATTCTAAAGATTTGGAAAACTGAGGTTACTAGCTTGTTGAAGCAATATTACCTGCCCCCCCCCCCAAAAAATTTTAGTTCAGTCACAGAAGTTCCTTTGGAGCTGTTTTAATGAAATTTGATCTTCAGTAATTCCTTTGTACAAGAAATTTTCCTGGTTCTACATGGTCTCATGTAAACCTTTTGGTCTGAAAGGTTAAACATTTATAAATAGCCAAATATTAAGATCTCTGTTAGCACGTAACTGGTTTGGACAAAGGTTGAGTTTGCTCTCAATGGATGAAACCATCCTCCTATAGAGGATATGTAACCAGAGCCCACTCATAATTTCTTAAACACTTCTAGTTAATTCATAGAGATTCTAAGTATTCTTCATGAAGTCAGGGTCACTTCTGGCTTTTCTCCACTACTCTTTGTGTCCCTATTTGGGAATTCCAAAAGATATACTGCTTTCTAATTATTTTTGCCCCACAATCGTGTTTTTGCTACCAAAAAGAAGTGGAGGCCTATGTTTCAAACTAGAATTTGATTTTTTTTAGGTCAAACTTTTTTCTTTCTTGCGGTTGATGTTGGTGGTGGGGATTGTGTGTTGGGTTTAGGATTTTGAGTCCAATTGATAGAGTACTCAGCTTGGAGGCAGGAAAACCTGGTTTTGCATCCTCCTTCAGATACATATTAGCATTGTGATCCCAGGCAAATCATTTAATCTTTCTTAGCCTCAGTTTCCTCATTTGTAAAATAATATCTACCTCATAAGGTTATTGTGAGGATCACGGAATCAATGAATTGGAATGTAAGAAGGCACTTCAGTGGCCATCTGGTCCAACTCATACCCAAAAAGGAATCCCTCCTATAATACACCTGACAAATGATCAACCAACCTCTGTTCAAAGATCTCCAGTGAAGGGGAGTTCACCACCTCTCAAAAGTCACTCATTCTATTATGTTGTTGCTGTTCATTCATGTCTGACTCTTTGTGACCCCATTTTGGGATTTTCTTGGCAGATACTGGAGTGGTCTGCCATTTCCTTCTTCCATTATGGGCCAACTTTAATTGACTTAGAAGATTTTTCCTACATTTCCTCTTTGCAACTTTTACCCATGGCTCCTGGTTCTGCCTTCGAGGACCAAATGAAACAAGTGTAATCCCTCTTCCACATGACAACCTTCCACATACTTGAACACACTGATTATGTTCTCCCTGGGTATTGTCTTCTCCATTCTACACATACCTAGTTCCTTCAACTTGTGATCCTCAGAAGGCATGAATTCAGACTCTTTGCCATCCTGGTTTGCCCTCCTCTGGATATTCTCTTGCTTATCAATGAATGGCTTCTTAACTGTGACACCAGGAAGTGAATATAGTACTGCAAATGTGGTCTAACTTGGGCTAGGTATAGAGACACTACAGCCTCCTTATTCTTGAAGCTATGCCTTTCTTAACACAGCCCACTATTGCATTAACTTTTTTGGGGAGCTGCCACATGATATTGCTGATTCATATTGAGTTTGCAGTCCACTAAACCTTTCAGATCTTTTTCTCTTTTAAACAAACCGTGTCTAACTGTGCCTTCTCCTGAGTCAGATGATTAAATGGGAAAAGGTATATGAAGCATATGGCAAACCTTAAAACACTATATAAAGGTTAGCTGCTATTACTATTATGATTATCATCACTATCATTATGTGTTATGTATATATTATATAGACATATATTATGTCCTTGATCTTTAAATTTTTTTTTGTCAGTAGATTATAGATCTCTAACAACACAGCCAGGCTAGGGCAGAAGACAATAGAGATGATGGTTGTAATTGAAGTCATAGAATCTGTGTCCATTCTCTGTATGCTAGTTGGCCCAGGCCTAGGTGTTTTGTGCTCCTGGCCTTATTTGCAGACTTAGTGTCATCTATTCCTTCTGTTTGGAGAAGTTCTATTTGTTGAAAAACTTCCCAATGATCAGAGTTGTCCAGTTGTGATAAGGAGGTAGCGATTTCCACCAAATGAGGGATATTCAAGAAGAAATTGTATGACCGTTCATCAGGGATGTTGTAGTCCTGTTCTGGGATGGATTGTACTAGATGGCCTCTGAAGATGCCCCTTCGACTGAGATTCTGTGGTTCCTTGACTGAATCTACATCTGATTCATTCTACACTTGGGATGGGGTGAGAAGAGTCATTTCTGTTCATCAAGCTTAGCTCAGTATGTGAGCATAAAAATAAATGCTTATGGAGTGGTTACTATGGAAACTGTTGGCAAGTGGAGGGACTAGAAATTCTTATCTTGCCCCTCTCCCCTGGTGCCATTGACTCAAGATAAATATAAATCCTGCTAAGGCAATTATTAGCTGTCATCTCTACATTGCATTATCACCCCTTTTCTTAAACTACTCCAACTCCCTCCCCATTCTCCCAAATCCTCTTTCTCCCCAAAATGAAGCTGCCCATTAATGCTCATTAGTAGGTTGACATTTTACTGCCCAAGACAGTGATAGATGGTTTCTAAAGACTGCCATGGTGGAATCTAGCGGAGAGGAATGAGGGGAACTGTAGAAAGTGTGATTAGAAGGTAATTTGATATTAGATTGAACACATTGGATCTTGTACTTCCAAATGAATATTCTTTTAGATTAGTTCTCTTAGGAGGCTGTGAAATGATTGCTGTGGTGCTGTGATTATCACAAACATTCTGGGAATTCCTCCTTTGGAATGGCTTATAGTTCATTCTTTGGAATATTTGCAGTTTTGGTGATTCTTTATTCCTTGGTGTTGTTTTTGAGTTGTGTCTGATTTTTGCTACCCCATTTAGGGTTTTCTTGGCAGAGATGCTGGAATGGTTTGCTATTTCCTTCTCCAGCTCATTTTATAGATGAGGAAACTGAGGCAAGCAGGGTTAAGTGACTTGCCCAGGGTCACACAGCTAGTAAGTGTCTGACCAGATTTGAACTCAGAAAGATGAGTCTTCCTGGCTCCATCCCCAGCCCTCTAGTCACTGCACCACCTCATTGCCCTAGTTCTTTGGTGAGAAGTTTTATTTTTTGAAATAGGCAAGAAATTATTCTTGTGAATGAAGTGTGTGTGTGTGTGTGTGTGTGTGTGTGTGTAGTGGGGGTTGGGGCAAATGGGGAGGGAGAGAGTGTCTTTTATTATGCAAGCTCTTTGAGAGCAGAGATAGTTTCATTTTTTATCTTTGTATCCCAAGTCTTGAGCACAGTGCCAGGGCCTTGGAGATGCTTAATAAATGCTTGTTGATTGACTGATTAAGTGTTTGGCACATCCAAACAAGGTATGAATAGAATGCTATGAGAGATTGGTTGTGTAGTACAGTGGAAAGTACTGTCTCTAGTCAGAGGACTGGGGTTCAGATCTCTCTTCTGGTTGCTTACTACAGTTGCAGTCTTGGGCAAATCGCTTAGCCTGCCTTGGCCTCAGTTTCCTCCTTTGTGTAATGAGAGAGTTGGACTGGATGGCTTTTGAAGTCTCTTTGTGCATTTCATCTATGATCCTAGGACCTGGTCTAGCTCTAGAAAGCAGCTTTGAAAGTGGAGTTCAAAGGTTTTGGATTTCCTTCTGTTTCTAACGTTTTCTCTGAATCCCCTGAGAAGAAAATATTCTCTCATGGTATACGATGTGAGGATAGGTATAATGCAAGGTAGGGTGTGATGGGGAAAGAGGACAGTTCTAGACAAAGGGGCCTAGGGAAAGTTGAGTGGAGAGAGACACCTTTTAAGTAGGTGGATCAGAGGAGGTTATGCGGCAGCTAGGTAGCACAGTGGGTAGAGTGCTTGGCCTGGAGTCAGGAGACTCATTTTTTCTTGAGTTCAAATCTGGCCTCAGACACTTACTAGCAGTGTGACCCTGGCAAATCACTTAACCCTGTTTGCCTCAGTTTCCTCATTTGTAAAATGGGCTGGAGAAGGAAATGGCAAACCACTCTAGTATCTTTGCTGAGACAGCCCCAAATGAGGTCATGAAGAGTCAGACATAACTGAAAACAACTGAATAGCAACAGTCAGAGAAGGCTGTTCACAAAGGACTTGAGCCCTGAAAGAAGAGGATAATAAAATACTGAATTTATACATTTCACATCCCTCTCTCCTTGTTTAGAGGGTAGACTCCTAGAGAGCGTATATTATTTGATTTTTTTTTAATATTTGTATCTCAAGTGCCTTGGGTGACATTTTTATTTTGGTCTGGATCTGTAACTTTATCCACTAGTGGTGTCAAATTCAAATAGAAAGATGGGGCAGAGACAATAAACCATACATAAGGAACCCTTTGGACCACATATTAACATTATCTATGTTTTATTGTATTTTTGTTTATTTTGTTAAATTTTTCCTGATCATATTCTAATGTGGTTCAGGCTGCAGGAGTCCTGTGGGCTACATGTGGCCCACAGGCCCCCATGTTTGACACCTTTGGTGTAGATAATTCCCAGGAGGGAAGTTCCCTGACTCTACTAATTCAACAATTCAATCTCTACCTTGTACCAGACACAACTTATTAGACACTTAGGATAGAGATGAATTGAAAGTCTTTGGCCTCAAAGAGTTTATGTTCTTTTGAAGGGAGACATACAGACAGAAGTAAATACGACATAGACACAAGGTTGATACAAAGCATTTTCTGGAGAGTGGCATTAGCAATTGGCAGGGGTACGGGTTGTAGATCAGGATGGACCTCGAGCAGAAGGCAGCACCGAAGCTAAGCACTGGAGGAAAGCAGAGATTCTGAGAGCCTCAGAGGAAGAGGGAGTGCATTTTAGGCATGGGGGATAGCTGTTCCAAGGAATGGAAAGAGGCGATGGAATGCTGAGTCTGAACAACTTAAGAAAGCCCATTTGGCCGGAATGTAAAGTGCATGATGCACAGTAGTATGCAATAAGTCTGGAAAATTAGGTCAGGTCTGGATTGTGAAAGGACTTTAAATACTAAACATAGAGTTTTTATTTTTCCCAAGAGCCACTGGAATTTTCTGAGGCAGGCAATGACATGGTCAGCCTTGTGCTTTAAGAATATCACTGTGGCAGGTATGCTATTATAATCGACCAGGCTAGAGATGATGAAGGTCTGAACTAGACAGGTGACCATGTGAATGGGGAGAAGCGGATGGATGCAAGACATGTTGTGGAGGTAGAAACAAGAATACCCAGCGTAGTTTCTGGCACATAGTAGGTGCTTAATAAATACTTGTTGGTTATTAGTTAATACTTCATACTCCCATTTGATGTATTAGGAAAATGAAGCATAAAATGGGTACCTGTGTAGTGCAACTTGTTGTCAAAGCCAGAATTAAAACTTGGGTCTTCTGAATCCCCACTTGACCTGTCTTTGGAGTATGAAGTTACTGTTTCAGGGGCAGAGGAAGTATCTAATAGTAGTAATAAAGAATACATCTTTGTTCAATATGTCATGTCTACATTTTTAAAAGTATGTGTTCTGAGTTTCAAATTCTAACTTTTCCCTTCTGTTGCCTCCTGTAGAGTTCATGGCCTTGAGATTGAGGGAAGAGATTGTGGTGATGAGGCAGCCCAGTGGATTACCAGCTTTCTGAAGACTCAGTCCTATCGTCTGGTGCATTTTGAGCCTCACATGCAGCCAAGGAATTCCAAACAAATAGTGGATTATTTCCGGTCTATAGATAAGGTTAGATGAGAATGATTTTCCTTTGATATGTCAATTTGTAAATTATTTTCTTCATGGTTCCTGAGATAGATGGTGTATAATCTCCATTGGCCATTAAACCAGTGTTAAATCCATGACAGAAGTTTGCCGGAGTAGCCACAATGCCTCTAGTAGGTGAGAAAATGAGTTAAAAATACCATTTTTGCTACATTAGCACTGATTGCTGTTTTGTATTTTGAACACCTCAAATTTTATCTTCCTTAAGCTTCTGTCTTCTTATTCCTGTTAGAGCTGTGGTAATGATATGGTTTGAAGAAAAAGAAACCAGTAATGTTTGATTTGTGAATATTTTTGTTCTTTTGCTGTTGGATATGGTTTAGTCAAGGGGTGGAAGGTTGGAGGAAAAGGAGAAGGGGAAGGGAAAAAAAAATTCACGTAGAACCTACTATGTACCAGATATTGTGCTAAGAGCTTTACAAATATTATTTATTTGATCTTTAATTGTCTTCCTTTCACTCCATAGTAGAATATTACTTTGATTATAAAATTCTCCTACTGTGGTTGCAGTTATGTTGAATTACAGCATGTGTTTTATACAGTTGTTTACTCAGAAGTTGAAAAAAATCAGACTGACCCTCAAAGAAATAAGACTGAAGGCAAATAAGAATTGTAATAAGTAAAATTGAACTGGGGAAATGCCATGTGCCTATTAATGAAAGATGAATCATCAGTGCAATGTTTTGACTGGCAGAAAGGATACTGGGCAATTTGCAAGTTGTTAATTTTTTTTTAGGTTACTCTGATAAATCTTTAAAATATTGGAGCTGGTGGTGACTTTAAAGATTGCTTAGTCCAGAGGATTTGGGGTCCCTGGAGAGATTTCAGGGTGTCTGTGACCTTGAGCAGGAAAATAATTACATCTTTATTTTTACTAACTTCCAGTTATTTGAAAAAAAAACATTGTCCTGATTAGTCTATAGGATCCATCAGACTGCCATAGGGGGTCCATGAAACAAAAATAGGTTAAGAATCCTCAATCTAGTTCAACTCCCTTAGCTTAAAGATGAAGAAGTGGCAGCGCAGAGAGGCTAGCTAACTTGCCCATAGTCACACAGCTTGTTAGTAACAGATTGGCCTCTAGATGACTATTCTCATTCTCTTACAGGAGCTATAGAAGTAAAGAAATAAATACACAATATGCATTTACTTTTTTGTAGCCCATTTTATAATTTTACCTTATAAATACACATACAACACAGATACATACACGCATACATACATACCAACACTTTGAGAAATCTAATCTAAAGCCATTATTGCAGATGGATATCTTAATTCCAGTCACTGAGTTTTAACTTACCTGTGAGAAAGGAATGTTATACAATGAGCATTTACATGCACACACGGGTACTTTTGTAATAACTGTAATCAAATTTGGGGCAGCTCATATATATGCACTTCAGACTAATCCTTTTCTTCCCCCCCCCCTTCACTGTGCAGGTCCCTTACAGCGATACCAGCCCTTTCTTGATTCTCTCTGAGGCCTCCTTGGCAGATCTCAATTCCAGGCTTGAGAAGAAGGTTAAAGCAAACAACTTCCGGCCCAATATAGTGCTTTCAGGATGCGGGGTTTATGAGGAGGTAAAGAATAGTATACATCTTACTTGCTCTTTGATTTGTGTCTTCTGTTTTTTTATTCCAGATCTTCCACTCTCAAGTGTTTGATTATAACATTCTGAATAATATAACTTAGTAGGGCTTTTGTTTTTTTGGTATATTATGTAATTTGAGCCATACAACAACCTGGGGAAGTAGGTAAGGCAGTAGGAAGGGGGAAAGAATTTATTAAGTTTCTAATCTGTGCCAGGCACTGTGCTAAGTGCTTTTAAAAGTATTATCTCATGTAATTCTTACAAAACTCCTGGGAGGTAGGTGCTATTATCCTCATTTTTACAGTTGAAGAAACCAAGGCAGACAGAGGTTAAATGACTTGCCCAGGGTAATACAGCTAGTAAGTGTCTGCGGCCAAATCTGAATTCAGGTCTTCCTGACTCTGGGACCAGTGCTCTCTCCACTGTGGTACCTACCTAATAATACTACAGGTATTATTATCTTCATTTTACACATGAAGAAATGAAGACTGAGTGGTTATATGACTTCTTCTTGGTCTCATTGCCAATACATCTCAGAGATAGGATTTAAACCTAGGTTTTTCTGACTCTGAGTGCAACACTCTATTCATACCTAGCTGTATCATATATGGCTCTACCCTATCAGTCTGAACCTTTAGCATCAGTAACAGAATTAGTAGTTCAAAGAACAGTATAGGCAACTGAAGCAGGAGAAAGTTCTTGTTCACCTCCCCTGAATGTAGCCTCTAGGGAAGCCAGGAGTACATACGATAGTGTCTTGGTGTAAAGATGCTTTCTGCCATGCTGTGATGCCTCTGTCTTCCTTCCCTTGTCTGTGTCCCGTAAGATCTAACATTGTAGGATCGTAGATTAAGATATGGAAAAGACCCCAGAGGCATCCAACCTCTCATTTTTATAGAAAGTAAGTATAGCACAGAAAAAACACAGGTTGTAGTAAGGGTGCCTAGATTTAAATATTGGCTTTTTCACTTAGTATCTCTGTGGCCATGGGCAAGAAAAGAGTCATTGTGGCATAGTGGATAGCATGCTATCTAAAGTCAGAAAGACCTGGGTTCTAATTATGCTTTTGACACTTACTATCTGATTGACCATACCCAAGCCACTTGATTTTTTTTTTGAGCCTTAGTTTCCTCATCTGTAAAATGAGGAGGTTGAAAACAGCTTAAAGTATCTTTAATCTCTATTAGTCCCCCAAACCTCTCTGAGTCCAAATTTCCTCATTTGTAAAATGAGGATATTTAAAATTGAACTACCTCTGTGGAAGAGCTTGTAAGGTCTTTGTGTACTCTCTCTCTCTCCATATATGTGTATATATGTATATGTATGTGTATGTGTATATGTATATGTATGTGTATGTGTATATGTATATGTATATTCCTATATCATTGTGAGCTATTGTTACAGGAGTTCTTACTCTGAGTCAGCTGCAAAGAAAGCAGTGTCTTCCAAAGGCAGCTTGATAGTTTAATGTGTAGTAGGGCAAGTGTGTTTGTTTCAGTTTTTTTTTTTTCAACTAAGATAAACTCTTTTCTCAGCCCCTTTCCTGCATCATACCATAAATACCCTGAGTTGGGATGACTCAAGATTTTTCATCATGGTTATGAAATATCTTCAACTCTGCATGGCACCATGGTGGTGAATCTGACCTCTTAATCCATGGCATGACACTCTATAGGTATCCCTGAGATATGTGGGTGAAAGAGAAGGGCATTTGCTGATTTTGACTGTCAGATACTGTCTTGAAGTATCAGTGCCATGTTCACTGCACATTTTTTTCAATCTGTTTACCTTCTCTGTCATCTGTGTTTCTGGATGTTGTAGTATGTGGGCAAGTGAAGTACGCAGTGTTGGGGAGCAGAAAAGAAATGGATTTGGAGAAGACTTGGATTTGAATCCTGGTTTTGCTGCTTATTACCTGTGTGACCTTAATTACCTACTTGGGTCACTGTTTCCTCATCTGAAAATAAGAAAGTTGAACCAGATGACCTCCAAAGGCCCCTCCAATTTGAAATCTGCTCCTATGATCCCATCTTAAATTCAATCTTTTATAAGCTTTTGCTAGTAATACAGCTTCTTGCTTCAAGAGTTTACCTGGAGAGCTCTTATTAGCAGAAAGGAAAGGAGTCGTGAGGTCTAAATTTTAGTATCAGGTTTCTCAAACCCCAGTTTCCTCATTTGTGAAATGGGTGTTACAGGATCTGTTTTGTTTACTCCCAGGAGAGTGTTTTGATAGGCATTATTAGGTTATGAAAATAAAGTTCTCACTGACAGTGCCCACCACACTGTAGTCTGTTCATTCCCACTTGGCCACCACCACTTTCTGGATCAGCATCTCATTAAGCACTTGATTTGTATCTTATTATCTTATTTCCCCCACCCTTATCCAAGAGTAATAATAATAATAATAATAACTAACCTTTATATAGTGATTTAACATTTATACAACACTTTATATACATTATCTCCTTTGATCTTCACGACCACCTTTTGAAGTAGGGTATAAAAGCTGTTACTATCTACAGTTTACAGATGAAGACAGGGAGGCTCAGAGAGGGGGAGATGACCTGTCTATGGCCACACAGTAAGTGCCAGAAGTAGGATTCAAACCCAGTTCTCTCTGGAGTCTTAGCCTAGCATGCTTTTCACCATACCTGCTTGTTAAAGTAGCACCAGGCATAGAAATACTAAAAAATATGATTTCCCAGATGAAGTTGGAAGTCAAATATCATACAGTGATTAAACTGAATCTCTCTGTCTTTATATAATCATATATATATATATATATGCATATAAAGTCTCTATATATACAAACTCTCTCTCTCTTTCTCTCTCTGTCTCTGTCTCTATCTCTGTCTCTTTCTCTCTCTCTCTCATCTTCATTGAACTATCATTAATTCCTAGCTACCTACATTAATAGAGGAGAGAAGAAGCTTTGATAATTCAGTTTCAAAATAGACAATTCTACTCCCTCTCAGCCCCCTACCCCCTTGACTAAATCATGTGGTCATAGTTCTATAATTATCTGCATAATACTCAGAGATTTCCTTTCTGGGCCCTCCCCTAACCTCTTTTCTAATCAAGTAGAAGTCCAGACAGCCCATGGATAATTGAAAGTTAATAGTAATATTACCTCTGTTATTTTCCTACCAAAACTAAACTTCTTGCTTCTTCTTCACTTTTGTGAAGGGCCATATCTCGGCCTATTAGAAATCATTTTGTACAAATGTTAGATAATAACATTTCTTATTCATTCACCGGTGGTCTAAATTAACTAGATATATGAGTGAGAGTTAACCACTGTTGTAGAACACTTATTTAGAGTTTCCTGTTTCAAGTTGGGTATTAATACAGCACTGTGATTGACTCATTCTTGTTTTATGTTTATAAATCAATATTTTGTGTGTGTGTGTGTGTGTGTGTGTGTGCAAAGAGAACACAACTGATGTGCTTAAGACTACCTCCCTGAGTAGTCCTCTTTCTAGTTTTCCATGGGAGGTGGCATAGTCCAGTGGAAACACTGACTCTGGGTTTAGAGGATTTGGGTTCAAACCTTGCATCCTCAAATCCTATGGGACCATAGGCAAATCATGTCATTTCCCTGGCCTCAATTTCTTCTTCTGTGAAATGAGAGGGTTGAGCCAAATGCCTTCTGAGGTCCCTTCCACCTATAGTTCTATCAGTCTTCCTTTCACTAGCATATTTTTCCCCCCTAAACTTACTATATCCATTGCCTAATTTCTCATTCCCTTCTTAATTCTTTGTAGTTTTGGTACCATTCCCACCATTCCATTTAAGCTGCCGTTTATTAAGAACCACTAAAACTGCCCTGTCAAAGGCCTTAGCATACATTTTCTCATTTGAATTTCATGGTGAACCTCTAAGGTATTATTATCCCAATTTTATAGATGAGGAAACTGAGGCTCAGAAACGTGCCTGTCCATGGCCCATACAGCTGGTAACTGTCAGAGGCAGGATTCAAATACAGTTCTTTCTGACTTCAGGTCTAGCATTCTATTCATTGCGCCCTTTTACCGTGTCCAGTGGCCCACAGTACTCATCTTCCTTGACTTGTCTATAGTATTTGATTATATTTGATTGACTATTGATTTGATTGGTCCTCTTCAAGTATGGGGGATGAACAAGAACATAGTATTTGGCACTGGCTTTTCCTTCCTCTCCTTCCTCACTGAAACTCTCTTTTTCTTTCTGTTTTCTGACTCTTCCTTGTTTATCTCCTTCACCAGTTCTTTTTATAGGGGAGCCTAGGCTTTAGGGATGGAATCAATCAATCAACAAGCATTTATGAAATGCCTGCTATGTGCTAGGGGTGCAATAACAAAAATTAAATAGTACTTACCTCTATGAAGCTCACATTTCATCAAGGTGGATGGCAAGTTGGTCAGCCCATAAACATTTATTAACTCCCAGGTATTGTGCTAAGTTGTGAATATGCTTATGTAAAGTGTGTACAAAGTATATACAACATAAACACAAAGCTTTTGTGTGAGTGTGTGTATGGGGAGAATGACACTGTCAGCTGGGAGGAATTAGGAAAAGCTTCAGGCTGAAAATGGCATTTGAGCAATTTTAAAGGAAATAAAGGTTTCTAAGAGGCAGAAGCGAAGAGTGAGTGCATCCCAGACATATGAGATAACCATTGCAAAGACAGGGCTGAGACTGGAGTGACATGTGAGAGGAATAGCAACCATGCCACTCCGGAATTGTGGGAAGGGGAATAATGCATTTATAATACGGTCAGAAACGTAGGTTGGGGTCAGGTTGTGAGGGGATTTGGAGGCCAAACAGGAGTTTGTCTTGGGTGTTATTCCCCTGGGGGAATGATTATGAATCATTCTGCCGGGTAAGATGGGAAGGGATGGAATTAAGGGTACATGCAGGAGATGTTGGCCTTAGGAAGAAGAAGGTTCACCTCTTCGTCAGAGCCTGGAATAAAGGAGGAGAGAACAGGGAATAATTTCAAGGTGGTTT